ACCCCCCCCCCCCCCCCAAAATGGAAATGCTCCCTGTTTTTATGCCCTGAGTGAAATGCCAGCATGGGCAAGATGCCAGCTCCAAATCCCTGCCCTTGCTGTCACCTTCAGTTAATTGATGGGAAAACCTGAGCACCACCTGGCAGGATCTGGGGGATCTGTCTGCATGTCCCAGCTGGGTGGAAGATGCTTTCCTCATTTTTTCAAACAACATTTCAGTCCCACGCTGGGAAAAACTACCTGGGGATGTGAGCAGAACCTTGATGGCCCTTGTGCCCCTGGAGTCGAGGAAGGGGGAGGCCTGGGGAAGACCCCAACCAGAGGCAGAGCTTTAAGCAGGAGCTCCCCACAGATGCCATGTGCCTGAGGCTGTTTGTTATTCTGAGATGTGGTTTTCTCTCTGTTTTTGGTTAGAAATTCCACCCTGGACTTAAAAGCCCCCAACAAACCAGCACTTTGTTGATCTTATTTTTTGCCAAACAGGCCTTTTCTAAGGCACAACACCACTTACTGCTCTGTGAGCTTGTCCTTCCCCCTCTGCTCACCAAATCAGCCAAATTACCCAGCGCTCACACTGCAGGAAACCTGTCAGCTGGCAACAGCATAGGACACAAGGGGGCAGGAGGTGCCTGAGCATCACCCATGCCCCGAGGTGCCCCCGGGTGTGCTCAGCATTCACTTACTATGTGCCATGGGAGCCGGGGTGGCAGAGGCACTGCCCAGTCTCAAAGTGGCACTGGCCATTGACGCAGTCACTGCAGACGAAGGCGCAGTTCTCCCCGTATGTCCCGTTCCGGCACTTGGTTTCACACCTGGGAGGGATGAGGGCAAGTGGCTGGAGCACCTGTGGCACTTGGGGACCTCCAGCATTCCTCCACATGCATGGAGATGGGGCTGTATATCACCATGGTGGCTTGTGTTTTCTGAAGCCAGGAGAGGGGTACAGGGATGGACTGAACCCACTGACACAGACATGGAACAGGAAGGAGCCTGCAAGACCCCTGCCCTACTCCCCTCAGACCCTGGATGCTTGCAGTGGGGCTCAGCTCTCAAGCTGGGATGCTCTCCCACAAACTCTTGTGCAAAGGACTGGTTTCAGGGCTGCAGAAGCCTTCAGTGACCCTGTTCCCTGGGAGAATCGGGGAAAGCAGGTACTTCTCTCCCAGAACCCAATGCTGTACCCAGCCACACTCACCGGTCTCCAATCCAGCCCGGGTTGCAGTGGGAGCACTTGCCATTGATGTGATTACAGGTGTGGCCATCCTTGCAGGGGGGACAGAGCTTCTCGCAGCCCTCTCCATAGAAGCCAGGTGAGCAGGGCTGGTCACACTTGGTGCCGTTCCAGCCTGCCTCACATGTCAGGCAGCGCCCATCGGCCACGGTGCACGGCTGCAGGCTCTTGCACTGCCCACACCTGCAACGAGGGGAACCCATCACGCAGCACACCCCAAATCCTCCTGCTGCCACCTCCCACCGGTGCCAGATCAGACCCAGCAAGGCTGGCCACTCACCGCCTCCTGCAGCCTTGGCCGTAGAAGCCGGCTGGGCAGGGCTCGCGGCAGTACTTGCCCCGGTAGCCCGGCTCGCAGGTGCAGGTCCCATCCACCTGGCTGCACTTGCCCTTGTAGCACTGGCAGTAGCGGTCGCAGCGAGGCCCGAAGGTCCTCTCCCGGCACTGACAGCGCCCCGTGAACTGCTCGCAGGGTGAGTTATTGCAGGAGCACTGGTTGTTGCAGCCACGGCCCCACCAGCCAGGCTGGCACAGGCAGTTGCCTGTCTGCTGGTCACACTGGGAGTTGTGGCTGCAATAGCAGGAGCTGGAGCACTGTGGTCCCCACCAGTTGGGCTCGCAGGTGCATTTGCCTGTCTTCTGGTCACACTTGCCATGCTTGCAGAGGCAGATATTCTCACACTTGGGGCCCCAGCGGTTGAGGTTGCAGGTGCACTGGCCCGTCACATCGTCACACTGCCCATTGGGATGGCACGTGCACATTTCCTTGCAGTCGGGACCCCAGAACTGCCGGGGACACTCTGTGGGGAGAGCCATCAGCCTCAGCACTGCCCACAGGGACAACCCCACCGCCAGGCACCAATGGAGACCCCCAGTCCCAACAGTACCTCTTGACCACAGTCCTCCCTCTCCTCCCCAAGTGCACTGGATCTAAGAGAAGACCCCAGCAAGGGGACAACGCCCCGGGAAGCAGAGCCAGGGGACGGGCAAGGGCAGAGCAGGAGCATTCACAACTCCGTCCCTGGTGATCTGCTCTGGAAAGTCACCCCAGGATGAGCCAGGTCCACCCTGGTGAACCTGTCTCTGAGGACACAAAGGCACCTGCCAGTACTCACTGGTGTCGCAGGTGGCACCAAAGTAGCCGTGGCGGCAGCGGCACTCGCCGGGCCTGACGCATACCTCGTTCTCCTTGCAGGTGAAGTTCCCCTCGCATATGGCTGGACAGATGGACAGACAGCAGGCATGAACACCAGTGCTTGCTCCTTAAAGCCCCCCAGACCTCCCCAGAGCAGAAAAAGAGCTGTGCAGTGACTCTCTGTGTGCTGCTGAGCTATGGCTCTGTCCCATCCAGCAGCCGCCTGGGCCGGATGGGACCCTTTCCAGAAAAATTCCACCAGCCTCCTGTCACCTTGCTCAGCCCCATCTCTGCCACCCAGAAAGGATGCCATCCATCCTGGCCACCAGCCTCCTGCCACCCACCCATGTCCCTGCCAGAGGCTGCACCCAATGGTGTTGTCTCTTGCTCAGTTCCACATTGCTAGAGGGGAGAAGGGGACATGGAGAGGAGGGGCTGTGGGCACTGCCATCCCAGCACCTGCCCCCAAAGGCCACCAACCCATCTCCTGCTGAGGGGACCTCATACTGAGCTGATGTCTGGAGCTAGGCAAGTGCAGGACGTGGGGCAGGCAGCAGGGACAGGCAGCACTTGCAGATCCTGCACAGCCCTGGTCAAGCTTCCTTAGGCACTGGGAGGAGGAGAGACAACCACCCATCCCAGCCACCTTACCTGGGAGTTGTTAGACCTATGATGACGGATATTAGAGAAACCCCTAAAACAGACAGATTACACATGTTAGGAGCAGTGAGTCTAAAGGTTAGAGCAGGTTGGGAGGGCAAGAGATGGGAATAGCTTGCTGTGGGACCATCCCACCCCTTACTGTCCTGGCAGATCCTGTCCTTCTCCCTTCCAAACAGGCCACATCCCATTCCCAACGCATGCAGCGAGTGGTTACAGGGCTCATGCACAGTGGGTTAGTTGGTTATGTGGGCTTTGTTCTCAGCTGCACCTCCAGCTCTCCTGGGGCATGGTGAGCCCCGTGGCCAGCTGAGACTCTGGGGGAACCCCAAAGCAGCTGTCTTCATTGGCAATGCAGGGAATGATGCTCCCAGGGTTTCACCATCCATGAGCACAGTAAGCACCCATGCTGGGCTCACTGTGGCTCCCAGTAAAGAGCTGTGACACCTTGTATGGCCCCAGTCCAAGCTCACTGGTCTTTGGCAGTCCCAGCAGCCTCTGTGAGTGAGGCCATCATAGGCTACATGCCTGGTCTGGGCAGCTTCGGCTTCACTGGTGGCTCTGGCTCAGGTCCCCATGCTGCTGCAGCATCTGCAGGGAATGTCAGTCCCATTCCTGCAGCTGCACCTTCACCCTGGGGGACAATTCACTGTCCCTTAGGACCCTGAGCAGCATCTCCAAGTCCTTAGACCCAGAGCTAGCTGGTAAGGAAAGAAACCCCCACAGCTCTGTGACCCCTGACACTGCGGCTCAGTACCCGTTCCATCCACATGGTGCTGGCTCGGTGCACTGCAGGGAGGCAGGACTCCAGCTGCAGGTCCCCAGGATGGGGGAATCCCAGCCACAGGACACATCAAGGTGGCCCCTGACAGTGGTGGTGAGGCCAGGAGGGCTCAGTGAAGGATGGGCAGAGCCCAATGAAGCAAAATACCGGTGTTTACCTATTAAACACTCGCTCCCTTGTTGCCTCCATCCCAGGCAGCACACAAGAACCGAGGAGCTGCAGGGATAAAAAAAGCATCACAAATAGTTACAACCCTGAGAAAGTCCTGGTCCTTCCCAAAAGCCCACCAGGAGTACTGAAGCCATGGTGGTGAGAGGTCCTGCTGGGGGCTTCTACACCTCCAAAAGGAAAGGAGAGCTCTTGGCTCCTACAGCACACAGTGAGTTAATGGGTCTGTTAGGGCATCCCATGGGTGCACCATCAGGCATTCAGGTGATGCCAGGAGTAAGAACAGGACTAGTTTTTCCCATTAATAAGGAGTGATGAAAAAGCAAAAGTCATGTTTGCAACCTCTACAATAAAAAAAAAATCTAAAGACCCAAAAAGCTGAGAAAAAAAGGAAGATTCTAAATGCCTCATGTCAAAACATGACTTGAGATCCAGGCATGGTGCTTTGTGGTCTGGGGATGGAACCCCAAAGGCAGGTTGGAACCACCTGGCTGGAATAGCTGCAACATAGCCAGCCCCCAGGGAATGTCCCTATGTACAAGCAGGGGGATGCCAACTGCAGGTAGCTGGAATGTGTCCCTGAGCTCTTGAGAGTCCTGGAGTGCCACCACCTCCAGGGAGTACCAGGCACAGGATCATCAGACAGGACATTTTTGGCACAACTTGACCAGGATGGGGGCTTAGACCCACTCAGAGGCTCCGCCAGGGATGCTCAGCTCTCTGCTGGGAAGGGACACATGGGGACACCTCACCCACGCTTTGTCAAAGAACCACCCCCCCAAGCAAATCTTTGGGGGCTCATGATGCTGCAATTGGGCTTGGGGAGTGCACTCCCCATGACCCCACAGAAATCCCCATTTATGGACCCCTGCTCATCCCTGGAGCCACCCACTCATCCTTGGGGTGACCCACACCACCTCGTCCCACAGGTGAGGGAGCAATGCTGGAGGGTCACAAACAGCCCAGGCGGATGCTGCAGTCAAGGAAAACTTCACCCGGGCTGGTCTGGCAGCGCAGCCTGGAATGCATTTGGCTTTTGCTTTTTTTTTTTCCCCTTTTCCTCTTTATATGTAACAAATGCAGAAGAGGAGGAGACAGCGAGGAAGTATTCGCTCAAAACCCAGCGCAGTCACAGGACCACGTCTGGCTGCCAGACCGCCTCATCCTGGGGCCGGGGAGGGAGCTGCCACAGCCCCTCAGCCAAATTGGGGTCCTGGGGCTGCAGCTCCTGCCCTGGCCCCTCGGTGGGCAGCAGCTGCATGGCCCAGCCAGGAGCACCGTGTCCCCCTTTTCGTGGAGGACAGTGAAAAGTTGGAATGGAGGCAGAAAAGAACCACAAAAATGATTCAAGGCCTGGAAAAAATGCCTTGCAGCTGGAGCCCAAAATAGCTCCATCTATGCGGCCTGTAGAAGCAGCCGCAAGATGCTGTGATGGTAGCAGCACAAACACCCCCCACAGGGACCCTAGGGCTCAATGGGGGCTCTGCTCCCACCGAGCATGCGAGGGGATGCACGGGGTTAATGGCAAAGAGGGGACAATCACCAAATCACCTCCCCGAGGACCCCCGAGGACTGGAGTCAAGGTCCTTCTCTGCAAGAGGTTTCAGGCTGTGCCCCCCAAAAAAGCTTTGCCAGCTGTGCTGGGATATTCAGGCAGAGGTGGAGAAGGGTCCATGGTGCTCTTGCCCTCCCATATCATGGCCAAAACCTCACTGTTGCACCTGGGGTTGCATCACCCTTTAGAAATTCAGTTTGGTGGCTTTTAGAATGAAACCATCACAGGTTTGCAAGAGGAAACCCTTCCACCTGGGAAACCTGCCTCCAACAACCCAGCCTGGCCACCAAAACAAGCATCATGGGAAATATGCCAAAAAGTATCCTTTGTGATAAAACCCCTGAGCTTATGGTGGGGAGCTGGGAGTTACTGGAACGTGGTGGCAGGACAGAAAAAACTTCTGCCGTGAGCTGGAGGAGGTGAGCGGCACCACAACTACCCCCAGCTGCAACCAGCCCACCACCTCACAGGATTTGGGCTTATCTGTTCCCTGATAGCTAATCTCTCCTTCCCTGTGCCTGCTGATGGCCTCCCACACCCTGCTCAGCCCCCACCTCATTTATCAGCAGCTTTGACAGCAAATAAACTTGGTCCTGTGGCAAGGAGAGGTAGCCAGGATGCGAGTCTGGCAAACAAGTGCTCCCAGTGGGGTACATGGACTGGTCCCAGAGCATGGCCAGCCCATGGAGGGTCAGTGCTGGCTGCAGGTCATCAGTGTGCACCAGGGTGTGGGACCTAAAGGTGTTTCATGGCTTCAGCTCCTTGACAAGGGGCTTGCTCCATGTGCCCCCTGAGCACTGGAAAAGGATGACTGGGACATGTGTTTAAAAGCTCACTCCCAACCCACATGGACATGGCACTGCAGACATCCAGTATGCAAATACTTCCTTTCCTTCAAAGCACCACAAATGCTGGGAAAAAACCAATGAAAATCTGCCTTTGAGCTGTGGCCAGGGCTTGAGACCTCAGCTGATGTAGAGGAAAAAGAGTGGGATGTGGGCAGAGCTAGAGCTGGCACCTGCAGGGACGAGTCCTCCATGCCAGCCTTGCCCCAGGCCCCTAGCTATGTCCTGCTCATGCTGAGCATCACTGGGATCTCAGCTAATGATCCCAGGCTTTTCACAGAGGTAGAATATTTTTCTTGTGGATTAGTATCCTACACTGGCCCAGGAAATCACTTTACCAATGGCTATAGAGAGGGCTCTGAGGCAGGGGGGGTGGCTCCTCAATAAGACCAGCAGAGCCTGCCCTGAACAATGAGAAGCAGGTTCACATTCCTGGATTCTGGGGATCAGCTGGGAGCTGCTGCCTGTGGTCCCACGTGAGATCACCCAACTCAACCCCATGGATGGAGCTGCAGAGGAGCCCTGCAGACACACAGCATACCCCTGGTGCTCAGAGAACCACTAGCACCCTCCCCATCCCCAGTGCTTCTCTATACCGGCCCTGCTGCTCCTTCCAAGCATCACCCCAGTGCTAATCTTTCACCCATCACCTAGTGCCACCCAGCTGGCACACAGTGCTCTTGGGACCACTGCGTTCCAGGCACTGGCACTCCCTAGCTGATGCCAGCTGCAGCATTCAGCCTCAGGGTGCAGACAGACAAACAGACATCCTCAGGGCAGTCAGGAATAAGATCACGCACATAAACAGAAGCCCTTCAGGCAGAGAAAGAAAATAAAAGACCAAAGATTGGAAAAGAGAATGTTAGCAAGAGAGCAGAACAGGGACAAAGCAGTGCCCAGGCTGTCACCTCTGGGACCTTTGATCATACCAATGGGAAACCAGTTATAAATGAACTTCAAATTTAAGGACAACTTGAATTTAGAACACAAAACCCCAAAGACCCCCAAATATGCCCTTTTCTTCTCCCCTAAATTATTCCTTGAATTTCTACTTGGGAGCCAGGTCTCAAGAAGTCACACAATCCTGAGGCCTCTGAAACCCATGGTGGCATCTCCACAGGATGTCTGGATTGGCTTTGCAGAGCCAAGGGTAAAACAAGCTCAAACAGCCTTGGGTGGAGGACAATGGGACGTCCTCCCAAAGCCACCTCCAGTCCCACTGTTCCTGGCCCCAGGACCTGCAGCACCAGGGCCTTGGGGCCACTGGGGTGTGTTTGGATGGTAACATATGGGGGGTCCTCCACATCCATTGTACACAATGATGGGGGTGGGTGCCAAGTGAGTGAGTGGAGAGGGAAGAAGGGTTTGCAGATGGGTGAGGGATAGGAAGTGATGCAAACATCATCTGAGCTTCCTAGGGACTGTCCCTGCCCCGCCATCCCGAGCTCCTAGGCTGCCTTCAGGCCCCAGTCCTGCCGGACAATGGACACAACCCATCTGTCCCACCCAACAGCCAGTGCCTCTTTCATACCCCATGGCAGCCACAGGTGGCACAGTGAGCGAGCCTGAGCCCTGTGGTGTTGGTGCAGCACCTCCTCCTCCTCCTTCATCCAGTGGGGATGAGGGGGTCCTTCTGCATGGGGGGAATCCAGGCACCTCATCCCCAGCACCTGGGGCAGGACACAAGGAACAGGGTGGGGACACTACTCAAGTTCCCTCTGCCACCCCAAGATGTAGTGGCAGCTTGGTTGTGCAGGTCACGGGCAGCTAAGGAGGGATGGCTCCCTGTCAAGGAACAGCGCTGATGGGAGCTGCGGCCACTCTGGCTTGTGAAATGTCTCCTTAGGAAACTCTGGCTGTAATTTGAGGAGGGGGCACCAGCACCCTGTGGCCCTGCTGAATGGAGCCATTATGCAGCCCCTCTAGCTCAAGCTCATGTTTTCCTTGTGGACTCGTCTGACCTCACAGGCGAGATGTAAAGGTGCATTTATGGCCTGGGCCTCCCATCAAGCGCTGGGGATCCAGCTCTCCCAGGCGGGAGGCAGCAGCTGTGGGCTCTCTCCTGTTTTGCTGGGGCCAGCCTGGCCCAGGAGCTTGGGCAGACCGAGCTTGAGCACTGCAGAGAAGCTAGGCTGAGGTGATGCTCTGCAAAGGAACTTGTAGGACACGGAGAGCACTCAAAACAGGGACAAGTCAGTGCCACCTCCTGAGACCCTGCCCCCAGCCAAGCAGGCAGGATATGACCCCGGGGACAGCTAGACAGTGCCAGCACCCACTTTCTGAAGCCAAACACGAGCGTCCTGGGGCTGCCAACCCCACAATCTCCAAAAGCTTGGGGCAGCCTCACCGAGATATCCAGAGCATCCTGTATCTCACCAGTCCAGGGCCAGCAGTGCAACCCGATCCCTGGAGACACCTAGGACCGGCTCCCCAGCCCAGATCCTGACCCAAGGATGCAGGATTGCCCTCTGTCCCTCTCACAACTCCATCCGCGAGACACCCAAACGCAACTCCTTACAGCAGAACCGGCTTCGGGCATCCAGGACTGGCTCTGGAGGCATCCAGGACCGGTTTCCCGCAGCCCTCGGGGGATCAGAACCAGCCCCCACGTCTCTGGTCCCGCTCGGGCTCAGCTCCTCAAGCTCTCCCCGCCGCCGGCTCCCCCCTCTCAGACGCGCACAGGACGGACTTTGTCTTGGAAGGCGCCCAGCGCCGCGGCTGCCCGGGATGGGGGATGGACCGGCGAGCCCGTCCCGCGGCCCCGGCCCCAGCCCGGCGCTGGGGGTCCCGTCCCGTCCCGCACACCTGCCCGCCCCCGCTCCTACCCGCTGGCCCTGCAGACGTTCCTGCCGCGGGGGCTCAGCTCCTGGGCGGCTCCGCGGCTCAGCAGCGGCGGCAGCAGCAGCAGCGGCAGCGGCAGCAGCGGCAGCAGCTCGGCCCCGGCCCGGGCGCGGCGGGGCGGTGGCAGCCCACGGGCCGCCATCAGCGGCGGAGCGGCGGGGCCCAGCCGGAGCCGGCACAGCCCATCCAGGGCCGGGCGCTGCCCCCCGCCCCGGCTCCGCCGCTCCCGGTCCCGGCCGTCCCAGCTCCCCGCCGCTCCCCTCTGCCGCTCGGCGTGCGGAAGCCGCGCTGCGATCGCTTCGCCGCCGCCTTCCCCGCGCCCCTCTCTGCAGCGGCGGGAGGGGCTCCGCCGCCAGCCAGGAAATTCCGCATTGGTTCCCCTGACGCCGGGCCAGGCTCCGGGGGCCGCTGCCGCCGCCGCCCCGGCCCCGGGCAGCGCCGCCCCGACGGCCCCGAGAGGCTGCACCGGGTGGGCAGCGCCTCCGAAATCGGAGAGGGTCCCCGAGGGGGAATGGGAGGATGCGGAGTCCTGGCTTCCAGCACAGCCCAATGGTCCAGCAGCTCCCGGGAGTCCTGGGAGTCCAGCGGCTCGGGGTGTGGACGGCCCGCGAATCGGTAGCGCCGGGGAGCGGCTGTCACGGTGGTTTGGAAACTCCAGAGCTCCAGAGCCCCGGGATTCCCCAGCAGGCTGATCGCCCCCGGGGTCTGGCTGTCCCGGGATCCAGGAGCTCCAGGGGTTCGACAGCCGTGGGTGTGCGAGGGATCTGGGTTTTGACTGTCCCCGGGGGTCTGGCAGTCCCAACCTCTGGCTGTATCTGGGATTCGGCAGCCCTAGATGCACAACAGCCCTGGGATCTGTCTGACCTGTGGTTCCAGTAGCTCCAGGGGTCCTGGGTGCCCAAAGACCCGAGGGTCAGCCTGCCCTGGCATTCTGGCAGCCCTCAGGAGCCCGAAACCCCCAGTATCCACCAGACCCAGGGATCCAGCAGCTCCAGATTCCTGACAGCCCAAGGATCTGGCTTCCCCAAAGGTCTGGTAGCTCCAGGTGTCTGATAGCCCCAGTGTCCAGCTGTGCTGCAGGTCCAGGTGCCAGATGCCGGTGATCTGGCATCTCCATGTGTCTGGCAGCCTGGACCAGTCTGTTGGGAGCCATGCAGGACCCCTGGGAGCTGAGTGGTGCCTGCAGCAGTGGAGCCAAGGACCCTGTACAGGGACAGAAAGGCTTCAGAGTAGCCACTGGTTAACCAACTGTAAGGACACAGCTGGGAGTCAAGGGGACCTGGGCACCTGCAGAAGTCCCACATCTCTAGCACAGTGGGGCAGCCCCGTCAATAAACCTTCTCAGCCTGACAGTGCAGCAGCATTGAATGGGCCAGAGCATCCTTGGCCACCATCCTGTGCCAGCTGGATTTTCAGCTTAATGGCCACTGTAAGAGATTCCTCAAACTTCTCTGAGCTCCCAGGACACCTGATAACAGAATGGGGGAAGTGTGGATGGGGCCATCTCCCTAAAGGTAATGCAAATGCAGCTGAACAGCTGCATGTGTCTCCTGAGGAATGCTGATAGCTTGCACAGAGCTAGGGAAGGTGTACAGACAGTGCATCTCCCAAAGGGCTGCCTCTGAGTGCCTCACACCTCCGGGGATCTCCTGTGGATGTGGAGGCTCCATCCCTGTAGGCAGGAGTTGAGTAGCATCCTTCTGGAGAGGATCAGGGAGTTCTGAGCACCTTAGGATCCTTGCACCAAGCAGAGAGTAAAGGCATTTGGTAGGTTTTCTCTCCATCACCACTGGCACTACTGATGTGTATGAAGGCTGCTCTCTTGCTCAGACAAATGACTCCCAATGGCAAGTTTCTGGTGATCTTGCCAGTGGGAATGTGACCATTGGTAGCACCCCATCTCCCCCTTCTTTTTTCCCTGGCACATTCCATGTGTTTGGCAGTAGCCCCAGGAAGTAGGACACTTTGTCCATTTCCCCCTGTCTCCACGTCCCTGTCCCCTCTGCCCCATCCTGTTCACAGGTGCAGGAATGTGAAGACCATAGAGGCAGGAATTGCTTCTTTGGGATGACTCAGCCTCAGGCTGAGCTTGGCATCCCTTCTGCTGGGGAAAGTGGGATGGGGAGGGTCAGCTCCAAAGTTAGGCAGAAATCTGGGTTTGGTGATGGTGCCTTCCCTGGCAGCTGTGCCCACCTCAAGCTGTAGCCTCTCTCAGGCTGTTTCCATAGCTAGGATTCCCTTCCTGTTCTGCTCTCTTCATCCCCCCCTGCATTGTGCTGAGCAGCCCCTGTGCTCTGCTGTCCCAGTCACAATGAACCAAGGCAGGATCACATTGCCTCACCTTCCCTGTGCTAGTGTTTTTTGTGAGGATGTGTCAGCTTTTGTATACTTTTTTGGCTTCCATAAACTTAACTTCTTTTTCTCTTGGCCAGGAGGCAATGCATCTCAACTGCTCTGTTTCTACCCATGTAACCCACAGCAGGGCAGGGACTGGGCTGTAGCCAGAGAGATAAGCTGTTCCCTCAGAAGATGCTGCCAGCTGGCATAAGAGGCTGGAGAAACTGAGAATGCAGTTGGGAAGAGGTGAAGGCAGGTTTCAAAGTGCTCTGGGCTGGCTGGTGCTGTCAGGGCATGGGGCACTGTACAGCCCACAGGTAGCACCCACCCCTCCCTCCCTCCCATGCCACTGCTCCTGGCCAGGCTGTTGTCCATGCAGAGCTTGGCCCACGCTTTCCATCACACCATTATTTGCAGTTCCCATTTCAGACCCTGCCAGGTGCCTGTCTCCTGTCTTTCTGTGTTTTGGAAAACATGACAGAAGAAAGAAATCCCAGCACTGTAGTATTTCCAAACACAAAACTAAGTAAAAAGATGCTGTTTTGTCAATGGTTCAAAAATCCCCATGGCTGCTTCAGTGGGCAGGACTGCACAGGGGGCCATGGGGAGACCTACAATATGAGATACTTGTCACCATCCTCACTGTGGTCAGGCTCTCAGGATGGCTGCTGCAAGGATATGGCTCTTTCCCCTTCCAGCTCTCCTCCGCTGCAGCAGCAGCCTTGCAAGCAGCAAGGCTGCAGCACAGGGTCCTACACACATACACACACACACCACCTTTCCATGCCTCCTCTTCCTTCAGGACAAGCAGAAAACAGCAGCAAAAGCTAAAACTGAGCAGGGTGGGGAATGCCTGGGATATGGGAGAGTTGGTTGGGTTAGTGCACCCAGAAATAAAAGTGGCAGTTGCTATTTTCTGGCTGAGCATGGATACAGCTGTGCCAGGAGACAGTTAGGTGGGATATCAGGGCAAGGTTCTTCCCCCAGAGGTGCTGGCACTGCCCAGGCTCCCCAGGGAATGGGCACGGCCCCGAGGCTGCCAGAGCTCCAGGAGCGTTTGGACAGCGCTGCCAGGGATGCCCAGGGTGGGGTTGTTGGGGGCTCTGGGCAGGGACAGGGATGGGACTGGATGATCCTTGTGGGTCCTTTCCAGCTGAGGATATTCTGTGAAAGGTTGTGAGGAACCAGGCATTTTGGGTTTTCAAGGGCATCCTGTGCCTTGGGTATCCAGGAGGCAGCACCTGCAGCCCTACACAACCCCTGCAAACAGGCACACACAACCCCACTGACCCAGGCTGCAAAGCTTTCCTGTCCTAGGAAGAGGGTTGGGGAGGGGATTAGCTGCAAAAAAGAGGGTCAAGAGGGGCTTCTCCTCCCCTACTACACAGATGTCTGAGGTTCTTTGGAGAAGCTCACAGTGCGTAACAGCTGCTCCTGCATCAGCCAGCCCTAGGTCCAGCTGCAGCAGCAGAGCTCAGCCCCTGGGGCACCAGGGTACTCTGTGCCCCTATTACAGCATCCTGCATGGGCTGGAAGGCAGCCAGGGCCTAGAACATCTCCCAGATTCCCTTAAATCCCAGGAGCCCAGCTGCTGCCTGCACCAGTGCTGTTCTGGTCCCATGCTCCAGGCAAGGCTCCCTGCTCCCCTCCTGGTTTTATTTTTTAAGGCAGAAGAGTCTCAGCTAGAGAAAAGGCAGGAGATGAACAGCTCAGGAAAGCTGAAACATCACCCCTTTGGTGTGGGTGGCTCACCAAGTAGAGGGACTGACCCAGGAAAAAAGGAGACACTGCCATAGCTCCAGGCAGGGAATCAGAGATGCCTGTGGTCCTTCAGAGCTCAGGAAAAAGTGTCCCTAATTTGAGGTGCGAAAGCCTGTAGGTTGCATGTCCCCCAAAAGCAGGTCAGAGGGTGGGGAGAGGCTCTTCCATGCTGCCACTCCCTCCTCTGCAGGTAGGGGGATGCCCCAGTGCTCCCAGCTCCCCCCAAACCCATCATAGGAAGCTCCACAGCTTCTCCAGTCCCCAGAAATTTGGACTCACTCCTTTTCCTAAGCTCTGGCTCAGGCCAAAGCATGCAGCACTAACCCCCCTTTGAGACCACGGCACTGCCTGGGGACATGTGGCTGCCCAATAACAGAGAGAGAGAGAGATGGCAGCAGGAAAACTTGTGATTTTACCATTTCCATTCTCCAATGTACAATGTACCATTCCAAATCCAATGTACAGCAGAGATGAACTATGGTCCAGGTCCTGGTGCTCCCACTGCCCCTGGTCCATCATTAGAACCAGGGACTGTGGGCAGGGCAGGAATGGTACAGGGATGGGGCCAGCCCACTAGCCTCGCCCCTCCTGTTCCATTGGACGTGTGCCTGAGGATGGACAACCCCTGTCAGTTTATCCCAGTGGGATAGGGGAGAGCCTGGACCTGCCCAGCTCTGGTCAGTGCAAAGCCAGGTAGCTGTCAGGGACAGGCAACAGGGGCTGATCCTGCCCCTTCAAAGGTCTGGTGGGCAGAAAGCTCCAGCCCTGGCAGAGGCTGGAGGAGCTTCTGGCTGAGGCCAGCCTGTCCCCAAGTCACCCAGCCACCTGGATCTGAGCCCATGGGCACAAGGGCAAGTAGATAAATCAGGGAAAAAACGCTGGGACAGTGTTCATCAAGGCACAGGGCGAGCTGGCAGGAGAGCCCCAGCATCTCCTTTGGGACAGCTCAAGAGGCTGTGGTGCAGCA